GGGCGATCGCCATATTCGCACTATAGTAAATTTATATAGTAATCTGAGTCACATTTTACTATAATCATTCTTCAGTTAACTGAAGGATCATCAATTAAACTACCAATCATACGAAAGTCTTCCTTGATATAAAACTGAATATCTGGTATAATTAGGACTTTTTTTTAAATTATTAAATTGATTTAAACTGCCAATCATACGAAAGTCTTCCTATGATATAAAACCGGATATCTGGTATAATTAGGACTTTCTTTTAATTGATTTAAACTGCCAATTATACGAAAGTCTTCCTATAATATAAAACTGGATATCTGGTATAATAAATTAATTAGGACTTTCTTTTAAATTAGTATATCATGATTATATAAAATGATACGCATACTGACACAAGGCTAATATAATAGCATGTGCTTTTGATATAATTTAGAAGTATTTTTTTTACAGTATATTAATAAATATATATATATATAGAACCAAATTTTATTTAATAAAGAAGCATAGTTATTATAATATTAATCCTAACTATTATTAACATATCTTTGTAAAAAAAAAATTTAGTTATATAATTTGATTTAGCAAGTTTGAAGTTAAGATAAAATTTTTTGAAGTAGATACTGTATCTATCTAAATCTAATCACTAAATAATACAGTAAGTATAAAATTTATTTTTAATCCCAAGCCTTACTCTATATATATAAGCTTATTTAGATATTGAGATAAAAATAATTAGTTATTTATAATTTTATTAGATGTTCTATAGAATAGGTAGGCAATATAAAAATAAACTCTACTAATGATTAATAATTATTAATAAATATTTAGCAGAGTTGCAGAGTTTGCGAAGTTTGCTTATCTATTCTATAAAACATTTATTTCATTTATTCTTTAAAAATTTATATTTATATTATTTATAACAAATAATAATTTTTATATATTTATATTTTAGTTATAATATTATTTCTTCATAATTAAACTTTGTTGCAAAATAATTAATAACTTAATTAGTAATTATATATATTATCATATTAAATTTTCAATTTCTAAATTTGATTAAGCTTTTAATATTTTTACTTATTTGTGTATAATTATTTATTTTTTAGATAATAGTATCATCTTCCAGTAATATTGTATCATCAGAAGAACATCGAAAGCAACTTAATTGTAAGCACCAAAAATGGTTTAGAAATAAGAATAGAGAAACTATTTCACACTTATTTGATGATGTTTCTGAAGAACTTCAATACTTACTTAATACTGAAGTTCCTATATTTGTAGTTGAACCTATTGAAACTTCTGCTATAGATACTAATTCTGGTTCTGATTCTGATGATCTCTTGCCTTTACCTAATACTGAAGTTCCTACAATTACTAATCATGAGTTTATTAATACTCAAAGTAATCAGAATTTTTGCCGTAATAAAACTAAATATCATAATATAGGTAGAATAAATCAGACCTGTTGACATTGTAAAGCTAAATTTTGGATGATTAAAAAAGATCAAAATAGTGGAATTGCTACTCCAAAATTTCCTCTGTTGTGCTAATAACAAAGTGCAATTACCACCTTTACTTAAACCTCTACCTTATTTACTAAATCTTTATACTTCAACTAATCCTGATGCAGTTGAATTTCATAAACATGCTAGAGGTTATAACAGTGCCTTGGCTTGCACATCTTTTGGTGCTAATGTAGATAACCAATTTTTGAGATATAGTATAGCAAATTTTCGAATTCATGCCCAAGTTTATCATTTAATTGGATCATTATTACCAAATGAAAGTCGCACACCAGTATTTGCTCAACTATATATTTATGATACTGCAAATGAAATTACAAATCATCAAAATGCAATGCACAAATTAAATAAAAATATTTTACAAAGTTTACAGAATATGCTAGATATCTGCAACCCATATATTCAAAATTTTCAGATATTATATGTGATAATGTAACTACTGAAATTTCAATGATAATTCATGGTGATAGAAATCAAGATATTCGTCGTTATAATGCTCCAACAGCTCCTGATGTAGCTGCAATAATGGTAGGTAATGGACATGAGGTAAATCCAACAAGTTGAGATATTCTTCTTAAAACACGTGATGGAAATTTGCAGTGAATAGCAGAGTTTTATCCTTCATATGATCCACTTCATTATGTACTATTATTTTCTAAAGGTAATGATAGATGGCATATAAATATACTACTTATAAATACTTTAAAAAGAGAATGAGTAATAGCTATGCAATTTTACTCTTATAGATTGCAAATTAGAGATAGTGATTAGATACAGCATGCTGGTCATTTATATCAACAGTACATTGTTGATCAATATGCTAAAATGGAACAAAATCGTTTAATTTACCTTAAACATAATCAAAAATCTCTTTGTGCTGAATTTTATCAAGGTATTATAGATGCAGTACATGCTGGAAATTGTAGTAATACTGTTGGTCATCATATAATTCTTCTATTATCTTTTATGGGTAGACCACATCAAATGTATCAGTTATATCAGAATGCAATAGCAATTATTACTCACTTTGGAAAACCAGATCTTTTTGTCACATTTATATGTAATTCTAAATAGCTAGAAGTTACTAGAGAATTACTACCTCATCAGAATGCTGTTAATAGGTCTGATTTAACAGCCTGTTTATTTCATATAAAATTACAAGCACTATTAAAAGATTTGTGTAATAATCATTGGCTTGGTAAAGTTATTGCATATGTATATGTAGTAGAGTTTCAAAAACGTGATCTTCCACATGTACATATTTTATTAATTCTTGCTTCAGATGACAAATTACGAACTACAAAAGATTATAACTCCATTGTCTCTGCTGAACTTCTTAATATTCGCACACATCCTCTTGCCTATAAAACAGTAACAACTATAATGATATATGGTTCATATAGTTTATTAAAACCTAATGCACCATGTATGAAAGATGGTATTTGTACAAAACATTATCCTAAAACTTTTCAAGAATATACCTTGGAAAGTAATAGTGGATATTCCAGACGAGACAATGTATGCTTTGTTAAAAATGAAATCCCATTAGACAATACATGGGTTGTACCACATAATGTCAAATTATATACAAAATACAATACTCATATTAATGTTGAAATTTGCAGTTCTATAACAGCTGTTAAATATTTATATAAATATGTATATAAAGGGCATGATTGAGCAACTGTTACATTTGCTTATTCCAACCAAGCTAATAATCAACAACTTTCACCTGAAGTTGTCCAAATTGATGAAATCAAAATGTATTTAGATGCAAGATATGTTTCAGCTTCAGAAAGTATCTGAAGAATTTTTCATTATAAATTGCATAATCGTAGTCCAAAAGTACAAAGGCTTGCTGTTCATCTTCCTGAACATCACTATGTTATATTTCAAGATGAAGAAAATCTTCAAGATGTTGCTAATCGTACTAAAAATCGTATAACAATTTTAACAGCCTGGTTTCAAGAGAATATGCAAAATCTAATGACACGTATATATTCCTATATTGACTTTCCTTCTTATTATACTTGGAATTCTTCGCACTGCAAATAGATGCCTAGAAAAACATTAGCAACTATGATTGGTTGACTTTATATAGTACAATCTTTAGAAGGTGAAAGATATTACTTACAAACTTTACTTAGTTATGTAAAAGGTGCAACTAGCTTTGATGATCTAAAAACTATAAATGATTATACATGTAGTAGCTTTAAAGAAGCTTGC